GGAGCTCACAGAACTCTTTAAAGACACGTCCTCCCGTGAGTCATTTGAGAGCATTTTCCTGTCTTAGGAGAAGTTGTGTTGGGGGTGTCTCAGCACTGGCTGCCTGAGCCTGGGGCTTCTGTCCTTCCTCTCACTCCCACCAAACCCAGGAGGCTGCTTGTTCCGGGGCCCCGGTGCAGAGCGCCCAGACAGCTTTTGCAGAGAGCCCGGCTCAGATCAGCAAAGGGGGCCGGGATGCAGCGGTGTTGAGGACCGGTTCCTTTGCTCTCCCCAACCGATCTGATCAGGGGGTGGCAGCCTGGGATGGGAGGGGGCAAATGTGCAGCCAGACAGCCCTGGGTTTGAATCCTGACCTTGTCACTGGCTGTGTGGTCTAGAGCCTGTTCTAAGACCCTCTTGGCATTCCTTCCTTCACCTGTAACAAGGACAACGAGGATTACCCATGCATGCGACTCACGCGTGCTGGGGTTTCTTCCGGATGCCAGCAGCATGTGAAGTAAATACCATGAGTCCCCCAGGGGTCTGGGCCCCGCCAGCCCCCAGTGGGTAGCTATCTGTGTTCTTGTTCTTGTTCTTGTCCTCTGTCCTGGCTTCTTGACCTTCCTCTCCCCTGGGGCCATAAGCAGGGGCCGGCTCTTTGCACAGGGTCCTGAGATGGGCCCGCGGGAGAATGGCATTCAGCAGTGTGGGGTGGAGGTCGGCTCCCTCTAGGATTTCTGCCCTGGTCTTGCCAGAAAAAGGACTTCTGCCCTGCCCCATCCGAGTGCCCTGAGCCCCGGGGCGGCTCATTGCCCCAGCATGCATTCATCTTCGTGCACGTGCTGCGGTGACAGTGAAAGACTTTAGGGGACCCTCCTGGAACGTGAGCTCGGAGAACACAGTGGCCTCCGTCTTGTCTGCTGCTGATCCCCTAGCACCTGCGAGGCTCTGGGTACACAGTAGGTGTCGAATGCATGGGGAAGGCCAGGAAGGATTCTTCTCTCCCCTCAAGGTCTTCCAGTGGTTTGGAGAAATGAATTGACATAAATGGACAGGAAAAAAGCAGGGTTTTTTTTTTTGTTTTTTTTTTTTTTTTTTTTTTTTTTTTTTTACAAGCACAGGGAGGCCCAGTAATGAAACGGAGACCCAAGTAAATGACCGGGGCAGGCAGTTTGTGTACCTTTTTAGACAAAGAGACAATAAATCTGTGAGGAATTCACAGGTCAAAGAAAAGGTAACTTTGGGAGCCTCAATCAGTAAGGAATTCTCAACAGAATTTGGGTGGGGGGAAGGACGGTAGTGAAGTAACAAGGGTTGTTTATAGAGCCTTCTCGGCTCTAAATTTCCCATCCCTGGGGATGGAGATGTCTCTTTACCCCCAGATACGGGGAGGGTAACTTTCACGTGGGGGATTCATTTTCTGCTTCCAGGGGGATGGGAGGGTCTGAGTGTCCTTCCTGTTCAGGCTGTCTGTTAAGTAACTTTATTTAAAATGATCTATATAGGGGCACCTGGGTGGTTCAGTGTTGGTTAAGCGTCCGACTCTTGATCTCAGCTCAGGTCATGATTCTGCGGGTTGTGGGATCAAGCCCCACACTGGGCTCTGCGATGGCAGTGAGGAACCTGCTTAGGATTCTCTCTCTCTCTCTCTCTCTCTCTCTTTGCCCATCTCCTTTGCTCTCTCTCTTTCTTTCAAAATAAATAAATATACATTAAAAAAATAAACTGATCAATATGCCAAAATAGCACATTTTGGGGCCGCCTGCCCTTGGCCCCTGCAACCAAGAAACCTCTCATCCCTGAGGGTCATCTGAAAGTCGAAACTGAACTTTGCTTTAGAGCCGTCAATGAGACTTCAGAGATCACTTGCTGGATAAGAAAATGACTTTGTTCTGGCCTCGACTGCATCGTTGTAAAATTTTCAGGGAAGGACTCAAGCCCAGAGAGTCAGGGGCCCCGGGATTTCACAACCAAGTGCTTCTCGACAATCTGTTCCAAGCAGGGTCAGGTGCTGCCTTAGGACCAGCCTTCTCCTCCTGCTTCCGGGGTTGTGTTCATGCTGTTCCCCCCACTGGAAAGCCGATCCTCCACTTTTCTCTGTGTCTGTCTCTGTCTCTCTCGGCAGCCTGGAGTCTGTTCCACCTTCATGAAACCTTTCCAGGCCCCTCAAAACATTCGTTCACCTCATGGCTTTTGCTGAACTCCTCTGACAGGATTACTTTGAGACCCTCACCTTGGGATTTAACTGTTTCCTCAACCAGATGCTACATGTCCCGAGGTTCATGTGTCACACCTCTAACCTCGTGTGTGGCCCAGGACGGGGAACACCTGAGCTCAGCACGAGGAAGGGGCAGTAAAGCCAGACAGGAGCTCAGTATTTCCAGGGTCTGGGCACTGAAATCATCACCCTCGATGGGTTCGAACCCACAGGACCAATGGGATGAGGCCTGTCCCCTACTTTCTTTTTTTTAAAATTGATTGAGAGAGAGAGAGAGAGAGAGAGAGAGAGAGAGAGAGAAGGAATGAGTAGGGGAGGGGCAGAGAGAGAGAATGGGAGAGAGAGAATCCCAAGCAGGCTCTGCACTGTCAGTGTGGAGCCCGATACGGAGCTCAAACTCACAAACCGCGAGATCACAACCCGGATGCTTAACCGACGGAGCCACCCAGGCGCCCCAAATGTCCCCTGCCCCTAGCTTTATTGAGATAAAAACTGACATACAACGTGGTGTTCAACGTGATGATTTGATACATGTCTCTATTGCCAAATGAGTCTACACTAAAACTAGTTAATACCTCCATCCCCTGCATAATCATTTTTTTTATTGATGGGAACATTGAAGAACTACTCTTCTAGCAACTTCCAAGTATATAATACAGTACTGTTTTTTTTTTTAATTTTTAACGTTTATTTATTTTTGAGAGAGAGAAAGCACGAGCGAGACGGAGAAGGGCAGGGAGAGGGAGACAGAGGATCAGAAGCAGGCTCTGCTCTGACAGCACAAAGCCTGATGCGGGGCTTGAACCCACAAACTGTGAGATCACGACCTGAGCCGAAGTCCAGACGCTTAACCGACTGAGCCACCCAGGTGTCCCATATAATACAATACCGTTAACCATAGCCACCCCGCTGTACGTTAGATCCCCAGAAGTTATTTCTCTTCCGGCTGGAAGTTTGTACCATTTGACCATCTCGCCATTTCCCCCACCCCCCAGCCCTAACCACTATTCTACTCTGTTTCTCCAAGTTCGGCTTTTTTACAATCCACGTGTTAAATGATATCTTCTACTATTTGTCCTCTGATTTATTTCACTTAGAGCTCATTGAGTTATTTTAAGAATTGAATGAGAACATGAAGGTAAAGCAATCTGCCCAGTGTCTTACTAAGTGCTTACCAAGTGCTAAGAATCATTAGTTTTGATAATAAAATTGTTCCTATTTCATGCCAGTTATATAAAGAATTCTCGGGGCGCCTGGGTGGCGCAGTCGGTTAAGCGTCCGACTTCAGCCAGGTCACGATCTCGCGGTCCGGGAGTTCGAGCCCCGCGTCGGGCTCTGGGCTGATGGCTCGGAGCCTGGAGCCTGTTTCCGATGCTGTGTCTCCCTCTCTCTCTGCCCCTCCCCCGTTCATGCTCTGTCTCTATCCCAAAAATAAATAAACGTTGAAAAAAAAAATTAAAAAA